CGGCCTTTCAGTTTCAACGAAACATCGCGTCTGCACCAAGGGTGTTTGAATCCTGCGTAAGCTGCTCAAGCCTTGGAAATGCGGGCGGTTACTTCATTGACTATGCTACCGTCATTTGAAGTAGGTGAAACATTCCACTACAGCTAATTCTTGACCATCAAGCATCNGACGACACCCGGTCTTGTAGCATCACTTTGCACTTTAAAGGTACAAAGCGCATGCCGAAAGGAGATACAGAAATAGCTAGTCTGTCAAGAGCGCATTGCGCATCCTCCATCGATTCGAACAGGCGTACGATGTCATCAGCGTACTCTAAATCGTACAGCTTTTCTCCAGTTGTCCATTCAATACCTACGTTCTGGAGACCAGTAAGTGCGTTCTCCAGTACTTCGTCTACGACGGACTTGAACAGAAATGGCGAAATAGGGCACGGACACTGCTTCTGGTTTCGAACTATTTACTTACCCCACCGTAGACCCTTACGCTACCAGAAGTATGCAGGTACATCAACCGTAATAGGTTTACATACTTCCGCGGCGTTCCTTCAACACGTTTTATCGACTGAGATCCCGACTCAAGTCCAACTCCCAACCTGGAGGACCAGGAGATTGGACTTTGTCTGACCTCTACCCATTGACCTTCCAGGCATGATTGGATCCTTGGCTCGGTAACAGCCATCCTGTGTAGCTCTTTGGGTCATAGAGGTGCACAAGCCATCACACCACGCCAAGGTGCAGTCTCGTCGTGGTGCCACCAGAATACTTGAAACGTGTATATGCACAGCCGAACTGTGTACTCAGTATGTGAGCACAAGGGTTCGCTTTTTTCCCCTTCCCCCCAAATAGACTCAACCGCTAGCCTCGAACTTTCTCATTTACCTTGTAGACAGTAAAAACTTGGCAGCGATCACTGTGCCGCAGTATAATGATTGTAAAAATACAACCATAGTACTGCTAAGTCAAGTTCTGTTGAATCGCGGAGTTTCATCACTTGTTTTGAAGAAATTCACTTTTACTTCCGACCTGTCATTACCATGTTTTTATCTCCACAGATGTAACTCGACGCACCATCACGCTAATTAAATCTAGAAAGGGTGCCGGTGCTCACTCTACTGACAAGCCGATCAAGACGGAAGTCACAACGAACGGCACTGATACCATAGCAAGTGAAGCAACAGCGAGTCGTCGCATGTCCCGTGCTCGTCGCTTACCTGCATGGTACAAAGATTATGATACAGACTTTGGCACACAAGAGGAACCGGTGCTCAACCGGGAACAAGTTCAAGCCCAACTGCCCCCGGGTATAGAACTGGAAGATCCATCTGCAATTGAGAAACCTGATGTACCGACTGAGGAGTGGAACATTGTTGTATATGATGACGAAGAAGATGAGGAGGAGGAGGAAGAAGAAGAAGAGCCAGATAACAATCAGGATTATGTACCTTTGGACGATGGGGAAAACTGCGATCCAGATATATTAGCTAATGCAGCTAGCATTTTAACCGCCTAATTCCAGTAAAGTTCATTCCTGCAACATGTAAATTACCGATTTCCTTTGTGTACAGTGTGCCCCTCCCCTATCTATAATGTACAGTTGAGATGCCTCCCGTGTGTAAAAAGATGCACTAATTCGTATTACTTACTGAAACTCCGGTTACCGACAGGTACACATACTTTGTCATCCAGATAAATTTTGCATGTGCTATCACAAGTGTCCTTTTTATTGCACTGAATATTGTCCCAGGTTTGTTATTGATTTTCAGGATGATTTTAGTAAATGGGTGACAGACTTATTCATAATTCGCAGACAGTATTTCCCTTTGGCCGATTTACCTGCGTATCAAGCTGTTGCAGACATGAAGCTTTACTTTAGCAAATAATAATTGATATTTATCGTTAGTAAACATTTGTTTCAACAATAGATTCTTGCTTCGTCCGCTTATTAGCCTAAATTGTTAATAATCACACTGTTGCTGTGTTCCGTGCACCTGTTCGCCTTTCAATCATGCGTTGAATGCTCCATCCCTCTCAGAAAACAAAACACTCCATCATTACAATACTAGTTCTCAAAACAAGAGAATCGATGTAATCTGTGGGATGTTTTTAAGGCAGTGATAACATGTTCTTGCAGATCATGCTAAAGCAACATTCGCAGCCAACATGTAACTGTCTTCCATAGAACACGGTTGTCAGTGTGTGGTGAACATTGCATACAATCGTTTACGGAACGACTGAGTTCTTTTTAGCATTTTAGTTTTGCCGTGGATACGTGTTGTCAATATGCAGGCCGACTAATGCGGCTGAAGTCCAGAAAGTCTCCCAAGGTAGCTGTGATTTCCATGAATTTGTTTTCTACGCTCGGCTATATGCGGGCGTTTACTCTTGTCGCCGGTGAGGGGTCGGTCACCAATATGGCAGTTAACCGTGACTAGACTGAACGTAGATTTTGGGTTTACTGCAATAAAAATGGGTCAGTAAATGAGCGGTGACCGACGATCATCAGTGGTTTTCGGTGACGGTGTGGTTTTGTTTGACTAGCGCTATGTTGCGACTTGATATATATATATATATATCGTACACGTCTGAGGCCAGATTGTGTGCTAAGCAAATCATAGTACAATAATCTTTATAAAAAGATCGTTCCATGGTTTGCATGTGGGCTGGATACTGCCAGGCCAAGGCAGGTGAATTTTCTTGAGGAATTCACAACCGGATCCTTAGGCTAGTTAAAGCCTGACCCTCAAGACAGCGGGGCGGTGTATGAAAACAACAATCCATTGGGAGCTGGTGTCCAGTTCGTCGGATCATACACCTTTCGGACGGGGTCAAACGTCCAAGTCGACTTAACCTTCTGTAGGGGATATTCTAGTGAAATTAAAAGGTAGTCGAAAGCTGTATACCAATTAGATCACGAGTTGAGAGAACGTGTAGCCAAGTCCTACATAATTTGTTCGATGGATGCAATGAAACTTGGACAAACCAGAAAATGAATTCGTCCATTGAGTGGTCCTATCTGTAGCTTAAATGTATTTTCTGCTATTGCACCGAGTTTTGATCAGTCTGAGTGAATGGATATATATATATATATATATCACACTTGTCTGAGGACAGACTGTGCCAAACAAATCATGGTACAATAATCTTTATAAAAAGAAAAATGTTCCACGATTGGCTTGTGGGCTGAGTACTACCAGGTTGCCCAGGCCAAGGCAGGTGAATTTTCTCGAGGAATCCACAACCGGAGCCTTCGGCTAGCCAAAGCCTGACCCGCAAGGNACCGCAATTCCTAATCGGGCCGGTGGCCACTGCCACAACCGAAAAGGTGTGGGTGTGGTTCGTACGTCTCCTCAGGGTTTTTGGCCAACTCCCCTAGGTGAACTGCCAGTGGTCCACCAACCCGGATGTCGGCTTTTCGTCCTCTCACTTTGGTGGGAAATATATATATATATATTGGGGTAAGCAACTTCCCTGTTGCCTGGCTCAATACCACACCTAGTCTAGTTTCATCGCTACGGAAGGTAGTGAGGTAGTTGGGTTGCCTCAACAGAGGCTATTCGAAGCGCTTGGTCGTATAAGGGCGTTTCTCGAGATGCAAAGGAAGGGTTTCTGACCACAAGCCAAATTCGACCGTACTGAGGCTTTCTGAGACTTCCGCAATGTTATGGAAATGTGAGTTGAAGAAGGAACAATGGATCGGTGTCTAATGAAGTTATCCATCACACCGCATGCTACATTCAGTCCTACCTGCCGATTTGCTTATAGGACGCTGACGATGTCATACAACCGCCGGTCTAAGTATCAGTCTCCGGGCCCCGAGTCCATATTGTTCACTAACCATAGGCACCCTCAAAAAATGTGCAGAAGTCTAATTTGGCGCTGTGCTTGGTAAATCCACTTCACTGTGTTATGGATTTGTACTTTGGTATTAAACAATGTAGTAGGTGACAGATTTTCTCCTGTGTTCTGGTAGACTTGTATTGTTTGAGGTGCTTTTACGTTCCTATCTTCCGTATTGGGATAAGTCAGCTTTTCGGGTGTCCTCTACGGTAGTTATCCATAAGTTGCAATCTCCGGCGAGGTTCACCTACTGTGAAGTCCAGTTGTTGCGCCAGTCGAGTATTACAAAACCAACTGAAGACTTGAGCAGTCTGCCTCCGTACCGACCCACATCTGACTTCCCCCAGGCGACATTTCCAATTCAGACAAACTGCCGGTTGTAAGCTTTTGCTTGTAACTTGTGTTTCCGGTCGGTGAAGGNCTGAGTCGTTGGAGAAACAGATAGCCTTCGTGTTTTTTTGACGTATGTCGTGGTTTGAAGCACAGTCGTACCATTGAGCTTTGGCCATATAAGAGGCACAAGCAATCGCACATTCCTTTTTTCCTTGTCACTCACTCTGGCTTCGTTTCGCATTTGCGGTAAAGATGAGGACACTTGAAACAATGTTTTATGCGGATGATCACTTTGTCGCGAAATCACTATGTTGCGTGAATGCCCTCTGGCAGTCGACACGAAGCTTGATTTCTTCCATGTCCAAGTGGTCGGTCCTAATNTCCTAATGTGGGTGTGGTTAATGAGTGACAGATCTGGGAATATTGTGGAGAAATGTTTTAAGGTGTTTATCTCTTATCTGATTGCATTGAATTTGTGCTGGATTCCGTCAAGTACCGTTTGTTTCAGTTACTTTCCAGGCTTTCTGTGGTCCGTTTGATCCTCTTCGGAGAGAAGGGTAAAACCATCACTAATGGATGAGCAAAGCAGAGATTGGTTTGCAATCTTGCCAATATTTAACCAATGTTAAATGTGGTTGATCTCTGACCAGACCAGGAGGGTCTTCTTGTAGTACGTTAGCGCTAAGATCGTCTGAAGGTGATGCTCCATCAAATAGTGTGGTCCGTAACAGTGACAGCCTCCATATGCAAGTTTGTCATCGTCCGACCTAACATTCCCGACTTCCAGATCTCCGGCCGAAACCACGATGCTAGTTTGTCGATGGTCAAGCCCAAGCTTTGCTGTGACATCTGCAACCTGTGTGTACTGGATGCGGGTACGATACGCGGACAGCATTTCCCGAGTTTTTCGCTTAATACCCACAACGAACTTCCCCACTGGCACAGTAGAGCAGTTTTCAGTGTTCACTCGAATCCAATCGAGTTATGCTTTTTCTGCACCTGCGCGCTCTCAACGCAACTCTTATGCTAGCCGGACCGGTTGATCCTAAATTTGGGTCTGCGATCATCGGTCATCGAAGCAGATACCACTGACGTGCAGTGGTCCAGGATAAAAACTGCAGTACAGCAGGCTGCACTAAACAAGCTTGGTACCACTAAACGCTGCTACAAAGATTGGATATCAGAGGAAACCATCCGTCGCTCGACGCTCGCCAGGAATGCCCGTCTAGCTGATCACCA